GACAAAATACAATAGAATTCTATTGTATTTTGTCGCGCCGTGTTGCTCGCGTCCGGTGTAGAATAGAACCCATTATAATCAGTGATGTTGTCTACAATGGATGCAGTAAACTGATGCCTTGTTCTATTTATGACGTGCTGACACAAAGTTCAAATGATTTTCAACAGTCGCTTTGTCACGTCCTGTTGCGGCGCATGTTGTCAGCATAGTTTGTCAGTACAGTCAGTAACGTAGCAAATTGAAAAGTTAGTATCTTTCTTCAGTCCAATAATAGATGGCAGTGCGGTGGTTTCTTGAGTCTGTTGAATGGTGATTTAACGCTACGTTGTCACCTAGTTGGAGAGACTCAATGCTAAGTAAATAAAAAACAATGTCCCCGTAAAGTTATTTATAATATGTGAAGTGAAGTTTACTGTTAAGTGCACTAATGTCAGACTCATTTTGAATAATAAAGTTTATTGTTAAATTGTTAAATACCCTGCCTCCACTACATAGGCCTATGTTTGTCACATCATTATAAGTGTTTGATCACCACCGAGTTATCATTGCAAAAAATTTGTTTATGTATATATTTTCTGTTTATGTAGGCTATATACTGTATTCTATATACTGTACTATAATATAGCCTACACATAAAGAATATCGGCCGATATATCGATATCGGTCTTTTTACTCCCTAATATCGGGATCGGCATCGGCCCCCAAAAAACCCATATCGGTCGGGCCATTTGCATGCTTCATTATGAAAATAACTGTAGAAATGGCTCCATATTAATAACTGATAGCTATATCTGAATGATTAAGTCTTGCATTAAGACACTTGGCTGGACCTGCTGCCACCGAAGCACTTCCTGAACTGTTACTATTAGTAGAAACAACCCAGGCTCATTAGAAATACGTGCCTCTAAATACATTTCTGCTGCACCGTCATTGCATACCTCACAGCACATTTCACAATTTGTTACGTTAGGAACATATTGCTGTGTTTGTATTACGTTGCTTCAGGTACGTATTGCGGTGGTTCATAATTGAAATATTCGAGGAGTGTCGCTAAAAGTTAATGCTCTATCATGTTGGAAATATCCCCTACACCAAACCCAACCCTAAATCTACCCGATAGTGTTAACAAATGCAAAAGTGATATAAAAATGCATTTGTTGATGAAGCCATGCTATTTTAACTTCCTTTTGCGGATTTGAGCTGTTTTGTCGAACCGTAGTTTCACAGGGTTTTGAACCAATAACCGGAGTCACTAATCATGCAGATTTACGTTACAAGCTTGGTAGAATTGTACAGTAAGAAAGTTATTTCCCTTAACCAGGAAATTAACGTTCTTAGAATTGACAAGACAGTTGACCCTGAGTGGTCAGCTAAATATCTACAGCGGATCTAAAATATGAATAGTTAATTATAACTAGTTATGGTTAATTATTCATATTTCCTGTTGTGAGCTAAATTCGCTACAGCTCTTTACCACCTAAGTGCAATGCCGTATCGCGTGAGCTACCGAGCAAACATATTTATTTAGAAAACTCATGCACATGAAGCTGGATGTGTCGATAACATTCAAATGCATCGGTTTTCAAATCTCGCAAAATGTTAACATTGTTTTGAATTCATAACATAATATTCATAACATAATATTTGCATAAGTATATATGCAAAAATTAGGCTTTATTAATCGAAACTGTGGACCTGTAAATCATACTTTGTGTAAAAATTAATAAATGTTTTGGGAGTTTTACTCCCTCTGGTGTTAATTTCAACTGGAAACTGCTGCAATTTGTATGTATAGGTAAGTTTTTTGAGTTTCGCAGAAAGGTAGGTAGAGGCACGTATTTCCAATGAGCCTAGGTTGAATAGAAAATATGAACATGATGGCCTGACCTCACTCAAGCTTTCATAGTCCCTGTGAATGTGTAATGCATGCCATTAGAGGCCCCATTATCAATGAAAACGAGAGGGCTAGGTGCCGTAGAGCAGAGCATAGTATCACAGATGGGGATTAATCAAGACTTTAAAATCCACCCGAGTGACCAGACCATAGCTTTGACTTCAGTCTGTGTACTTCTGCTTCTTATTAGCCAGCACTAAAATGGTGCCACGGCTTTGATGGTTTCCTTTGAGGGAGGCATGCTGTAATTATTGATTGCAACTTCCCAACTCTAGGCACAGATATGACAGTTTTTAATTAAACACATTCATCTTTAGCCTCCTCGTATGCTGTCCGCTTGACACAAATGTATTCTGTTTACCACGGTTAATGGACTCCAATTGAATTTGAAAGGGGCAGACCCCTTACGTGTGAACGGAAGACCAACACAGAGCCTCCCAGTCATATCTCTGTGCCAGGCATTCATTCATTTGTATCTGAGGCTCGTTCCTTGCTTAGCAGATGGGCTGACCTAATTTTGAAATAGACTTAGTTCTGAAAAGTCTCTGCCATGTTTGCAACCCAATGGTAATTTTGATTGAAGGGGTGGTTACATAAAAACGTCCAAGGCTGCTTGGAAATCCAGTCAATTTAATTAGATCCCCCTCCAGAACCTTCATTCAAGTGAAACTAGATTACCCAAAATACAGTGCAAAATTCCCTAGTACCACTGGTCATATTTGGACCATTACTCTGGGTCCCCTAAGCTTGCAAGTTTGATAATAACATCAAAGAAACCTTTCTTTGCCACTTCTGCTCTCTGAGGCATAACCAGCACTAGCTAACTAGCAGAAAGTCAGATTAGCTCACAGTGAAAACCATGCTAATGTCAAAAGAAAAAGAGTTTATTTCACTGTTTTTGACTCTTTAACCAGCTTCCCTCCAGTCAGACCAACAGCGCTTGAGGAATAACAAAAAATATCTTGGACTAGATGAGTAATTCCTCTCCATTAGGGTCTTTGCACAATAGCTTAATCCCCCCTGTGGCTTCCCTGATTTGCCATATCAATCCTCCCTCATGTTCCTATCATAGGTGATATCCATGACATACAGACAGAAATCAGGCTTCTTCAGAAATATTTTTTATCTCAGTGCTTAATGTGGTTTAGTTTGCACCATTATGAGGTGGAGAGTGCTGTATCTGTTTGTAGTGCACACATGACTTTCTCAGTATGATCTTCTAAACATTTTGACTGCTAGGGAGTAGCATTGTAAGGTCATAGCAATTAACTTAATGCCCTGTCACAGGTGATTGGTTTTTAAAGGGTAAACTTAATATACTATTGCTAAATATGGATTTTTTTTTGTAACACTTAACAATGTGTTTCAATTCATATTAGTTTATGCATTAGGTATCGTAAACTAACAATACCCCCCCCCCACACACACACACACACACACACATTAATCTTGGTTAATGTTAATAGTCACACTTTATTTTAAGGTCCAATTCTCGCTATTAACAGACCATTAACTACGACTTTGGCTCCAATAAACTGCAGAATATGTGCTTTATAAGTACTAATAAACAGCCAATATATTATTTTGTATAATAAGCAACTAGTTAATAGTGAGCATAAGTCCCTATACTAAAGTGCTACTATGTTAATTTAAAAATAGAGTAATAGATTTGTAACATTTTAAGTTGTATAAATTATGTGAAATGTACACTGCAAAGGTGGCACAGAAGCGCTTCAGAAGTGGCATTCAAGTGTCTTTACTAAGAGGTGGCGTAAATGCATTTACAAAAGAATGTACAGATGTATACTCTGATACTAGAGGCTGAAGTGGGTCAGAGCAGGCATCATTCAGTCTGGCTTTTATGTGGCATTCTTTACACTGAATTTTGCAGGCACAGAGACTTAAACTGGTTGTGTAAAGACTCCTTCAGTTTACATGTTATGGATGAAACCGTATATTTATAAATTAACATTGACCTAGATTAATAAATGCTGCAAAAATGGTGATCATTGTTAGTTCATGATATTTAATGCTTTTAAAAAATGTTAACAAGTTGAAGCTTATTGTGAAGTGTTACCATTTTTGATTATGTTGCAGTGAATGTGTGAAAAACGAGTGTGCAAAAACAAATGCGTATATGAAATATTCAGACATATTCACAGAAACAATATGACTTTTTTTCATCACATTATTTTGGTAGTAAAAGCTTATATTTCTTTCCACCAAGAATGATTGAGGCACCAACTATGTATAAAATGGGCACACAAGCATTGAAATTACTGAGCGGGAACATGTGTATTAACCACTTAATTTAGTATAAAAACCTTGCAATTTGGCATTGAAAAACAGCAGTAATAGCTTTCTCTACAGTGAGCAGTAGTTATGTTTTTAAAGCAGAAAAAGTAAACCATTAAATTAATGTATTATCAATACAGACTCAATCTACATAATGGTATATGACACCTGCAATGAAGAAACAGGCATTTATGGAAAATTGGTGTTGAAAAATAGAGAACTGCTTCTGATGATGTGCTGTGCCGTTAAAATACGGTACACAATTCAGATGATTACAAACCTGTTTTACACAATTCCAGCAGAAAGTCATTACAATTTAATGTTATATTATTGGATCATTTGACAACAGCATGTATTGGCTGGTTAGACAAAGAGCCGCTTGTCAGAAAAGATGGTGTGAAGATCCTCATGCAAATACAAGGAGCTATTACTGAATTATTGTACTGCATGTTTCCTCTCTAATGGGTGTTTTTGCCAAGGTTGGGTGAGGATGGTGATGACATATTGTCCCTTTTCTTTCAGATCCCCTCACTATGCCTGCCCAGAAGTTATAAGGGTAAGTGTGTGCTCTCAGTGGCATCTCTCATTATAGAGCTTCCTCTGAATCTCTTTCTTTCCACTTCTAACTTCTCTCTCTCTGGTAGGGGGAGAAATATGATGGCAGGAAAGCTGATGTATGGAGCTGTGGAGTCATTCTCTTTGCACTTTTGGTGGTGAGTGAAACCTTTTTGTGGCAGAGACCTCATTTTGTGTCATATAATTCTTCTGTGATTTGGCCCTCTGCCTTTTTGACAAATTTGAGCCACAGTCTCTCTCTCAGCAGCATGCATTGGAAAAAATAAATCCCCTGTGTTTGAATGAACGTCTATCAGAGGATGTGGGAGAATCCAGACAAGGATATTTCAGTGCTAGCTAATCAGCTAAGCAAGAGTTGGGCTTTAAGAGAATCAAGGTGTTATATCGGCTCTGTAGTCAGAGCTCAAAAGACTGACAACACCAAAGCTCCAATATGGTTTCTCACTCCAGCCGGTGAATCATCTTTATATCAGACATGAGTGAGATCAGCCCTTTTTATTCATCACGCTGAGCGTTTTATGAATCCACTTTTATCTTCTTACTCTTCCTTACTTAGACTGTAAGAGACTTCAGGTTCTTGGAGGAGGGAATTAAACAAAAAATCGAGTGTCATGCTCTTGTCAGACATTTAAAAATCTCTGTTTGGGGTAGGCTGGATTTTAGATTTTTATGCTCGCCAAGGCTGCATTTATTTGATCAAAAATACAGTAAAAACAGAAATAGTGTTAAATATCATTACAATTTAAAATAGCAGTTACCTTTTTTAGTACATTTGAAATGTAATTTATTTATGTGATGTCAAAGCTGAATTTTACGCAGTCATTACTCCAGTCTTTAGTGTCACATGATCATTCTAATATGCTGATTTGGTGCTCAAAATAATTTCTTACTGTCTTTACACGTAAAAAGAGTTGTGCACTTTTGATAAAATAAATAAACAAATAAACTTACTGGCCCCAAACTTTTGAATGATAGTGTGTACATTAGTTTCTGAATTGCCAAAGTGTACATATAATATCAATTTAACACACTTAAATGCTAACCTAACCAAACTGAATGCATAAAAAACACCTTTTATATCTGAATTAAATGCAGTAATGTGCAGTTAGTATACGATCTGAAACCACCAAAAATACTATCAGCAGATTTTGAACTGCTTATGACAGGCGTCACTGCCTTCACCTCAAAGTGATTGGCTGCCATCCTGCATTTTTCGCCTCTCATTTGCATAAAGTTAAACATTTCTTAACTTTTTGACGTTCCAACTGCTTACTCGGCTCGGCTGTCAATCCCACAATTCCCCATGCAAGCCTACTGCTAAGCTCCAGTAGAGAACGAACTGAAAATTCCTACTCAGCTCCGTGCCAGTGATGATTGTGGTCAGTATGGTCACACCAAGCTGTTGATCACATTTAGAATTTTCTTATCCATGCTTGTTTAGTTTGTCCAACATCAAATAACTGAGACAAATGGCACTAGCTTATAATTAAATCAGCCTCAAACCAGACAACAACTCTGAACCCTCAGACGGCTTGCCTTGAGTCTGGATAATCAAGCTGGTTCAAGTGTAATTACTGTTCAAGACCATGAGCCCAACACAACCCAGAAGAACCGTTTGCCCCAGTGAAATTGAAAAGCCAATTCTTTCCCTTTTCTCTTTTGTGTTTGTGTGCTCTATTTTAACTGCATCCTATTCACAAAACAATGAAATTATTCCTGCGTATCCCAGGAAGCTGTTCTTTGATCTTTCAGTGCTCAAAGACCTTTTGTTAGGGATGCATTCTGCATCCTTTTTTTATTTATCATCTCTCTACTTTGCTAGTTTTTGCTAGATTATATCATCTATTACGTGGCCCTGTCGTCAGTCATGCTTGTGAATTTTCTGTGTCATTTATCAAGCGCTGACATCTCAGTAGTGTCAGGGGCCCTGATGGGTCTCTCTGATGTGAAAATGATGAAGTGTATCTGGCACAAAACAAAGCTAATTATCAAAGCACAATCATCTCTCTATGTCAGCCTTTTCTTTATTTATTTTGCGTCCTACTTCCTGTGTAGATATCCTTCATAAAACTCTCAAATGTGGTGGGGGTGTTGTATTTTTATCAAAGCATTTATCATTCCTATTTTTTCAATTCCCCCATTGTTTGTTTAGATATAAATCCAAGAGAAAACATGATTTCAACGTATTTTATTTCTTTTAATAACTTTTTTAATAATGTGCTAATATTATTTTCAGTTAGTTCTTTTATTCAACAATGATGCATTTAATTGATTAGAAGTGACAGTAAAGACTATTACATTGTTACAAAAAATGATATATCAAATAATTCCTGCTCTTTTGATTCATCAAACAATCCTGAAAAAAAAAAAAAAAAATTCATCACAGTTTCCACAAAAATGTTAAGTAGCACAATAGTTTTTAACATTTACAACAATAAGAAATGTTTCTTGAGCACCAAAGCATCATATTAGAATGATTTTTTTTTAAGGATCTTGTGACGCTGAATGTAATCGCTAATGAAAATTCAGCTTTGCCAACATGGGAATAAATGAAATTTTTAAATATATATTAAAATGGAAAAAAGTAATTTTAAATGGTAATAATATTTCACAATATTTCTGTTTTTACTGTATAAAAATATGTGTAAGAGCAGCCCTGGTGAGCATAAAAGATTTCAAAATATGACAAAAATCTTCTTGACTCCAGACTTTTGACGTTAGTGTATACAGGATTAGGGGGACCAAAAATAAATTAAGAATCAACCATTGAAAAATAAATATTGGTTGACATTATTCTGAAAACAGGAGTTGGGGGGGATTTTGTCCCACACAATGATTGATTATAGTATTAGTACTGACGTAATATTTCTCTCTGTCAGGGTGCTTTGCCATTCGACGATGATAACCTGAGGAACTTGCTGGAGAAAGTGAAGCTCGGGGTCTTTCACATGCCCCATTTCATTCCTCCAGACTGCCAGAACCTCCTAAGGGGGATGATCGAGGTGGACGCCACCAAACGACTCACGGTCAGGGTCCAGCATCGTCACGCTCATATTTACAGTTTTATCTCATAATATCATCATTCAAAACTTGTAAAACCTGATAGCTGAAAAAAAGAGATGATTTATCTCTTAAATGTATAATGTGGCCTAAGGAATCATAGGTGGTGACAGTGTTACATGTGCACTACACTGTTTACATATGCTGGTTGGCTGTTCAGTTCCACAGACATCTACAGTATATTAAGCTGATTTCTATTAAATAAGTGTTATGGGTCTGAGAGCTCTTCTGCTTTTGAGCTGTCACTTCAGGTCAACACACAGCAGAACTAATCCAACCAGCCTGTCTGTCCGGATCTCACACATTAGCTTCAAAAAGTTTGCGTGTCTGCGCTTCTGTCGATCTCTTTCTTTCTCTCTTTCATGGTCTCCTCATCTCTCTGCTCTCCTCCCTCAGCTACTATTTTCATTGTTCTGCTTCAGAGCCACCCCCTTTTTCCTGTAACGTGCTGGAGTGACGAGAGGTTTATAAGCTTGTCCTAATACCAACCCTTTGAAATGCTCCAGTTTCCGTTTTTGCTTTCCAGAGAAAACAGATAGCTGTCTTCACTGCCCACATCTCTCAGAGATTGAAAACAATAGCGCTCTCCTAGGAAGGATCCAAACATAGCCCATTTCCTGTGCGGTTTGTCAGTTATATAAAAGAGATCTTTTGTATGATTCCAGAGTGGGAAGGAAGTTGATACTGTCTTATTGCCAGTTTGAAATATGATCTTATAGATCCAATTAAAACAATCCAATAGAGCATTGCAGAGTACTAAAAGTACTTCAGTTTTACAGACATCTGGACAATGTGTCATCATTGTTTCTTGAACCACTGTCAGCACACTTTCAGAGGGAGTTCTCAAAGAATGATGGCACCGGTTACCTGCACCTGATTCTCTAAAGGAATTTAAAGGCCCAGAAAATCTGTTCTAAATACAATTTGTATGGCACAATTTATGCGTAACTGCAATTCTTGCTGTTATATTGCTGATCACAATCATTTCATCATCATTTGATTAATTACTGCTGGCATCATTGATAGAAAATGTGCAAAAACATCTCTTTTAAGTCAGTGGTTCTAAATCTTTTTGGCTTGTTTTCATGCTTGTTTTGTCTTATTTTAAAGCAATTTAAGTCATCTTAAGACGCCATTGGAATTTTGCTGAGGGCCCCTAGTGTGCCCTGGTCCCGTGGTTCAGAACCACTATTTTAAATAAAATTGCATTTCTTGCCTGCCTTCTACATCACATCAATTGTGGTAACTTTTGTGAAAAATAGCTACAGTAAGCCTAATTTACATATAAAGGAGCACTGAAAACAGAATTACAGGTGGCTAGTGAATATGACGACGGTTTTTGAATTGAAATACAGTGTGCAAAAGTGCTGTAACTATACAATGATTTTTTGTTTTATCTTTTCAGAGCCATAAAGTAACATTATTTTTACTTTTTACTTACTCAACCGCAAGCAAGTATTTTGTTTGAACATTCTAATTCAGTGTGTTCATTCCTCACAGTTTCCTGATCAGGTCAAGTGCTGAATGTTTATAGCTCCTGAAAAGACACACACCAGACACACATCTGTTGCTAACAACTATAGAGACTTCAGTTCATTCCTCTCAGTATTACATGAACAGGCCCAAAACCATTCACTCTGATGGGGCTGCTGCTGTTAAGGCTGTTGTTCTTGTTCGGCGGGCCACAGCTTTAATTAGCTGCTAAAATGTACATGTCTTTGTAGCTTCCACACTTTAAACCCGGGGAGATCAGAGCATGTGACACAAGAGAGAGAGATTAGAGACGGCCAGCAGGAAACTGCCTGACATTTAGAGATAGATTCATTGCTTTTATTGTCATGCTCTGCTGTCTTTGTTTGGCTCTGTTAATGGATGGATAATGGTTTGGCTCTTGTGTTTTCCTCTCTTTACAGTTAGAACAGATACAGAAGCACACATGGTACATGTGAGTATAAACTTCACTTTTTGCCTGTCGTCCTGTGGCTGTTTTTGCTCAGTATCTGTCTGTGTGTTTGTGTCTGTGCATGTCCTGTAAGTTCATGTGTGTCCTCACTGCAATAACTGAGAACATACGGTACAAAAAAAGACACTTTTCTAAGTAATGATATGACAGTGTGTGTGTGTGTGTGTTTGTGTTTGGAGAAGACCCTTAAGCTCTAGCGGACTGGCTTCACTCAATGTTTTTGCTCCAATAAGCAATGCCTTGTTTTTGTCTTGAACTGTTTCAATTTTAAACACGCATTTCTCCAGTATCCAACATTTTGTATTAGTTATGATTCGTGACTGGGGGCCAGGGTTATAATAATTTTGAATTTGAATTTGAATTTATTTAGCCATTTCTATTGAGTGTAGTTTCATTTTAATGTTTTCTAATCTAGCAGCTGGTGTAAGTAAATCATTTATCAGCATAGTCTTGTGTTATTGTTGTCTAGAGGCACTTGCATGTTTAATGCAGATGGGTTGTAAAGGTTTCAAGTTTTATAATATATTGTGTATCAAAAACTACAACTTTTAATTTTATTTTTAGTTTGTTTTTGAGTCAGGTAAATAAAATTTATTTTATTTTAGTTTCAGTTTTACCTGTTAATTTTACCAGGCAAGTTTTCATTTTAATTTTCATACATGATAATAATACTACTGGGTCTAAACAGTGTCTGTGGACGTTTTTATAATACCTCAACTGACTGTCGGAGAAAATCGGCTAAAATATTCCGAATGGATTTAAAAATTATAATGTTTTAATTAATGTGTTAATTTGAACTGAGGGTCTACTACACTCTTATTGGTAGAAGAAAGCGTTAATCAAATTTACCAAAATATTTAATAAACAAACACACAGGGAGATGGTTCATTTGTAGATGATGGGCGTTTTAAATCTCCAGAGCTTTCTGTGGGTGCAGATTGCATGTGGGCCTGTTTGTGACTTAGGCCTATACCACCAGCAAGGATCCTAGAACACGCCGGAGGCGATTACCATGTGTGCTCAATTAATGAAAAATAAACAAGAACACTAGATGATTTCACATGCTCTTGTTGTTGATCTTGTATTCAGAGGAGGAAAGAACGAGCCAGAACCAGAACAACCGGCGCCACGGAAAGTGGCGATCCGCATGCTACCCTCCACTGAGGACATCGACCCAGATGTGCTGGAAAGCATGCACTCGCTGGGCTGCTTCCGGGACAAGAACAAACTGATGAAAGACCTGCTGTCAGACGAGTGAGTAACTAAGAATGAGACGCTCACCTCAGAAAGGTTGTTTCCCGTGATACCAAAGTTTTATTGCCAGTGATTAGACAAGACTGACTGCTTTTGCTTTTGGAGACCATATGTGAGGGTATTATTGTTTTACATCCTTGTTTCTTAGGGTTAGTAAACACGCAGTACAGCATCTTGGCTGCAGGCTATTAGAGAAGCCCATTCCCTCCCGCTCATCTGTCATCTCCCGTACTTTGCACAATTACCGCCCGCACGCTCCGCTGTGCGCGATCAACTTCGTTAGCCCCACTGATAGATGGCTTGGGTGTTCACTCCTAAAACATTGCGGCCTCTGTCTCTTCTCTTGCCCAGCATTTAAACAATTCAGATGGCGCCTGCAGCAAAGACTGGTCATATTTACTTCCCGCTGTGTGGTCCGGGGCAGAAAATTTCAACACAAGGCCTCTTGCTGGGAGAATTTGAAGACTTTTTGAACTCGCCCAGACTCTTGTCGGATATTTTATGTCTTCTTGCATCATTAATGAAATAAGAGATATCCTGTGATCTCTGCAGGATGTCTTTTAGCTCTCTGGGAATGAGGTGCATGCTACTCTTTGCTCTTTAACTAATGAGGTTAATTAGCCTGAGCTGAGGGTTATTTTGGAGATTGTACTGTATATCAGACATCTGTCTTGACCACACACACATTTTGTTTCTCCGTGCCTTCTCAACCTCCAGTGATAACCAGGAAAAGATGATCTACTTCCTCCTGCTGGACCGTAAGGAGAGATATCCCAGCCATGAGGATCAGAATCTACCACCCAGAAATGAAATTGGTAAGAACGATTCAGTCAATTTGTCTTTTATGTACTAAATCTGTTTGTTTGTATTTCATCCTTAAATACAACATGAAATGGCATTCACAACAGCTCTGTGATGTGACATAATTTCCTTGCCCAAATAGCCTTGGAGAACTAGTGGAAACTAAAACTTTTTGCTGAAAGATCACGAAAACATAGTTTTCTATAGAACAGTGTGTTTACTGATGAATCATACGCAGTAAGACTAAAGACATTCATTATTAAAGTTAATGGGTAATTTTTTTCACGTTCTTTTAATATACACTACTATTCAAAAGTTTGGAGTTTTAAGATTTTTTAATGTTTGTGAGAAATGTTTCTGATGCTCACTAATGCTGAGTTTACACTGCACGATTTTAGACCCAATCGCCAACAAATGCCTGAAATCTGAGGCAAATTGGTGCTCGTTAATGCTATTGACAATCACGCAGTGTGAATCATCAAAGACGTGCTGTGAAAAGAGTTCTGACTGAAAAATACATCAGCGATGACAAACAGCCAATGAGAGAGCAAGATACAGGGCAGCGGGAAGTTTGGGGAGGAGTTATGAAACAAAGTTTGCGGACCAAACAGAGTTTCTTCCTAGTGTAAAGTCATGCAGTGTGTAAACTCCATGAGGTTACACACTGTGTAGTCTTACACAGTGTGTAACTACACAGTAGTTTTTCGTGTCACGTTATTCTTCAGAAAACATTCTAATTTAGTGCTTAAGAAACATTTCTAATTAGTATCAATTATGAAAATGCTTGTGCTGCTTAATATTTTGTGGAAACCATGATATATTTGTTTTTCAAGATTTTTTGATGAATAGAAAGTTTAGAAGAACTGAATTTATTTGAAAAATCTTTTGTAACATTATAAATGTCTTTATTTTCAAAAAAATAATAAATCTTCCTGGAATTTACATGCTTTGGAGGGCTGAGAGGCATAATGAAAAAGATTCACTGTTCAATTTTTCCCATTATGAAACCCACAGGCTTAATGGGCTGTTTTCATGTGTTATGGATCATTGAATTTATCATATGCTGGTTTCTTCAGATCCTCCCAGGAAGCGAGTGGACTCTCCACTCTTGACGAGGCACAACAAGAGGAGGCCAGAGCGCAAGTCCATGGAGGTGCTGAGCATGACAGAGGGCGGATCTCCTGTTCCTGTGAGACGTGCCATCGACATGGCACAACACGGACAGAGGTACAGCAACGCATCTCTCGCTCCTCTATTATTTATGAAACTCTACAATCGGAGCAGTGAGTGCCACAGTAAAAAACAGCTGAAAGGATGTCACATTTTGTGGAGCCTTGAAAGGGAAAATTGAAGACAGTGACGTCTTTAAAAAAAAGCCAAAATAAACTTTGGATTGGCAAAATTAAGTTCACAGTTATCACAAGCTGCATACTAGCTTTGAAATGCATTTTTAATTGCACATGAAGAGTAAAAGAAATAAGGTCAATGAGCTCAGCTTAATTCTTTGGAAAAGGAAACCAATGATTTCAAAAGCAGAGTGTTTTACTATTCTCTGAAAATCCGTTTCACAGCTAGTCGAGCAGCATGCTGAATGTGCCATATGCTGAATTTTAATTTCTCAAAGTGGTTTTAAAGGGAACAATGGGATTTCTAATGTGCCTTTCATTTTTCTGTATCTTTGACATTTTATTACCAATTCTTTTTTACTTTTTTCCATGTCCATTGTGATCCATTTCATCAGCCCTGTGTCCTTTCCCTGTGTAGATGCTTTGGCTCAACTCCATGATTACTTTTGTAAATTACTCTAACTTTACTCTCTCTTACTGTAGTAAATCTGTTTTCAGTAAAAGCTTGGATATCTCAGATGCCAACCCCATACTGCAAAGCAAGGAGGAGAGGTATAAACCACCGCCATGCTTTCTTTTCTGTTCTGAAGATGCAGTGGGGTTTTTAACACTCAAAGCATGCCACAGAGAGCACTGGCCTGTTATTTCAACCACTGATATTTAAGATCTTAAGAGCTTAGTTTGCTTGAGAAGGAAGTAAAAAAAAAGTGGAGGTTGCACGTGTAAATAAGAGTTTTTTCCTCCTGGTTTGGCCTCTCAGTTTTGGTAAAGCAGTGGCCCTCTGGCTTCCTCCACACACATCAAAAGCATCTTATCTCCCTGATTTTGCCTTTCATGTTTCGTTTGATGTCTGGCATTTTTGTCCCTCGGTAGATCCCAAATTGTTCATTTCTTCCCCTCGCTCTCGTTTTGCCTTCATGCTTCTCTTGCCTTCACCCAGGATGTTTGTTTTTCTTAGAGTGATGTGTGCACTTACAGTAGGTGAGAGACAGAGGTTATCCGATTGTTTGTGTTCATCTATTCAAGCATTTTTCTTCAACCTTGAGTTTCACAATCCTGTCCTACGTCTGCATTCACTGAGACTGTTTAGTCTGCCAGATAATAGAATGGGCCTTGAATATTTCTTTATATATAATTTATTTATTTTTATTGAATCATTGCGTTGAATAGAGGTGCACTGGGTTAGGTACTGGTAAATGAATATTTTACTGACAGGCTAGATAGATCAAATACATGTTTATGCATGTTTACAATTCAAAATGTAACGACTTCATTGAAACGAAAAGCTCCCCTGCATCTTTTATACAATTTTAAACAGCATTTTTTACAAGCAGTAGTTATCTTAATATAGTTATAGCTTCATATTAACGATGCACTACATATAAAATCTTTACAAATACTGTACAATGCTTAAAGAGTAGAAATATTAGCTTGTATAGTTACTGTCCTCTAGTGCCTGTACTTTCCTCCCATGAATTCCATAGTCATTTATTACACATATAAAGAGCTCTCTTCCTGATGCTGTGTTTTGGGTAAGCCAATTAGCTGAATGCAAGAGGCATATAATGAACATCAGCATTGCGCTGAATCAGGCCGCAGTGCATTTGGTGTTGGGATTTTAATGCTTGAATAATTAAAGACAATTTGAGACCATCGCATAATTCTCAGCTATGTAGCCTTTGCAAATGCAATTGATCAGTTTATGGATCAAATCCTTCCTGGAGTCAAATTGTGTGAGTCTGAATGTTGACACCATTAGGGATGATTTACTGTTTCAATTTGCCTTGATGACAAAACCTGTTGTGTCCACGGTCAATTAAACCCCAATCATTTATTGGAGAATTACTGAAGCTCACCATCTAATACACAATGAAGTTCGGAAGAACTCAGGGCCTCATACAGAACCTCATAAAAGGCTGTGATGACCTTTTTCATCTTTAGGATGAGAAATTATCAATTGCTCAAATTTAATAGCAACCCAAAATGTAAAAATAGGATAATCAACAAAAATACCTAAAGGCCTACGTAGAAAGTTGACATGTAATTAACAGAAATGCAAGATTTATAGTAAAATATAGAGGTCTGGTGTTATACTGCTGTCTCTGTCCAGGAATAAAATCAATTATAAATCATTTTTCACCCACACAACATGCTGAACCTCCTATAGAGATACAACAGTGTGCTATATGTGAGGCAGAAACGTCTTTACTATGTATGTTGTGTAACTTTAGGTCCCGGTCCATCAGTGGAGCCTCTTCTGGTCTGTCCACTAGTCCCCTCAGCAGTCCTCGGGTAAGCCTTCCATCCATATTAAAACATTGGTTTCACTCAGAGAGTCTGGTTGTGTTGAAACCCATGCCAGCTGGTGTGGCGTCTATCTATAGAATATGCATTGCCACATCTGTTTGATCTTCAGCATCAATATATGCATTGATTGCATAATGCAGGGATCTTAAACAGGTAGTGTTGCTGGGCATTGTAAAAGTATGTAAATTCAACAGTTGGGAATCATTCAACAGTTTGGGGTCAGTATGATTTTTTTAAAGAAAAAAGAATACTTCTATTTAACAAGAATACATTCAATTAATCAAAAGTGACAGTAAAGACATTTACATTTGTTACAAAAGCTTTCTATTTCAAAACAATGCTGTTCTTTTGAATGTTCTGTTCATCAAAGAATCCTGCAAAAATGTATCATGGTTTCCACAAAACATTTTAAGCATCACAACTGTTTTCAACTTTGATACTAATAAGAATGATTTCTGAAGGATCATGCGACACTAAAGACTGGAGTTGTCTTTAAAATTCAGGGTTGTCATCATTGGAGTAAATTTCATTTAAAAATATATTCAAATGTAAATCAGTTATTTAAATTTGCAATATTATTTCACTATTTGTTTATTAATCAAATAAAAGCAGCTTTGGTGAACACCTTTCAAAAACATTAAGAAATCTTACCAACCCCAAATTTTGAATGGGAATGTATGTTTATAAAAAATATTTGAATGCATTAGTATGGTACCATACGCATGTTATTACAGGACAGGTTTAAAGTGCAACACTAAATTTGATAAAATATGTAAAAAGGGGGCATTGTTCTGTCTTTCTATCCACCAAGTGGGTCCTTGAAGGCATAATGCAACATGAAAGATTATTTCTGAGAATTGTTAGTGATGATGGAGCATTAATGATAATTCTGTATATTGTTAGCTTTGTTAAACAAGACAGCCAATCGTATATTACCTATAAGCTGAAATGCAGCCGCAGTATTGCTGTCTGCCCCCACCGATTCACTACTTCTAGCCCAATCAGTCTACCATGCTTAGCATAATTACTGCTAATCTATGCCCAATTCACAGGCTTGTTGCCTGGAAATATTTGAAGCCCAAGTCACTAATGGCTTGTTAAAATCCCTTGAAAATCCCTGGTTCCTTACTAACGGTGAAGACTCTGGATGTAGCCAGCTTTTACAGTTGATTTGTTTAAGAGGCTAAAAGATTACAAATCCACTACTAAGACCTCCCAATATGCAGTCCTTGAGTTAAATCAAGGAATTCCCAGCAGGATTCATCCCAAAGTCAATTCTGAATCCGACCTGATCAAATATTCTACTGTTTGAAATGTTCTACATTTGGAGAATGTCTGCAGTGGTGCCCTTTCACTGATGAAAATGGCTCACGTAGAGAACAGGCTTGGTGGAAGTAATTTGAATTAGTCTGTGAAGAACTCCTTGATACAGCTCATCTGAGATTAGTTTTACTGCTCAGACACAGACTTAAAGGTTTGTCATGGAAGAATCTTCCCTGTGGTATGAAAGAGCTTTAAAAATCCATTTTATTGCATTCGTGCTCTTCTTTATGTCGTGCTATGGTTGCGGCTGGTACAGTTAACACTCCATTGTATTTCTATGATGTTTTACAATATGCTTGATGAGCTTTCACTTTGCTGATTGTAATCACACTCTTTACTTTTAGTGGCCTTTATTGAATCAATCCCCTGTTTCTGACCGAAATATAATTATTATTAGCATCATCTGTCAAACAGCATCCTCATATCATACCTCCAACAGCAGCATTGTACTCTATGCTCTGTTTAATGGTCAACTCCACTTATTTCCACTAGCCATTTTGATAGTGTGGCGCTATTGTCTTGAAAAACTCGTTAATTGAGGCAGCATATATTTCTGGATCACATTTTATGTTATTTCTACCTAATTCATGATGATTATTTCAAATTATAAGAGGTATTCTGACAATAGCGTCCTTTTACAGCAAAGCCTTGCACAAATTTCCTGCTTGCTTAGTCAGTGCTGACAGCACCTCTTTTATTTTCATCCCAACAACAACCCAGAGCTTTTTTGTTGCTAATTTCTGTTGCTGATTTTGATTTTGATTTGTTTTGGGAACACTGGTTTGGGAACATTTTTTTCCCACTGTCTTGTTGCCTCTTGGCTGGTTGTGCTAATGGCATGTTTTTTCTTTCTTTCTTTCTGCACTTCCTCCCTCACTTCTCATCACCGGTGGCTTGTTCACCATCTTTTCATGTTTGGTGTCGGTGTGTGTGCGTCTGCGCCGTAATGCCTGTTAACTACGGGGCCGTGTGTTGTGTGTATGGGCTGTGTTGGCTCTTTTTGTGCTGCTGGCTCTGTGCATGTGCTCTTACAGCCCATGCGGCGGTTCGCCGTTCCTCCACAATCCGCAGAACTCACGCAGTCGCCCAACCACAGCCCCACCCACGCGCCTGTGTCCCGGGTGAACGGCACAGGCCCCCACTCCCCCAAAACCTTTCAACCAAAGACAGTTGCCCATCAGCACTACAACAAAACCCAGACCCTTCCAGCCAAGCCCAAAGTTGCAGACAAGCCCCTGCAGGCCACCAGGTCCAACCCGCTCCCTAACACGATGGCCGTGCCATCTGCGGCCAAGTCGGAACCGTCTACGCCCTGCCAAACCCTGCCCCCGCCGATGCCCGGCAGCCCGAAAGTGCGCCGGCCACCGCTCACGGTGCCACCCAAGCTCTCTGTTCCCCTTTTGCCCCTTTCGCCCATCCGGCTTCACCACCTTCACCCGCTGGCCGGGACTGACCACAACGGCAAATCTATCTCCACCATACAGGTTACGCCCTACCCCTCCCCCAGGGGCAGCCCATTACCAACTCCGAAAGGAACACCGGTGCACACACCTAAGGAGAGCCCAGCGGGGACCCCTAGCCCCACGCCACCCCCCAGCCCCTCCATTGGAGGCATGCCGTGGAGAACACGCCTCAACTCCATTAAGAACAGCTTCCTTGGCTCACCACGCTTCCACCGCAGGAAACTACAAGGTACCAGCAGTGCTGGAGACATCTCAAAGCACTTTTTAATAACCTTTTACATCAACCTGCCCAGGGACTGCAAAAGGAAATTTGTCATTTTGCCTAAATCTAGGAACATTTACATTGATATGGTGATTTTTTTTTATGTGTAATGTCTCTGATTAAATAAACAAGGGATTACCTTATTAAAAATTAAAAATCTGAGTTAATTTATTAATAACAGATTATTAAAATTAGATTATATTTTACTCTTTTGTGTAACTATATGAAAACACGAAAACTATAATTAATAATTTTAAATATACAAGTGAATTTAGAATTTATTACAACATTATAACATACAGTGAGAAAAATGGATATTTATTTTGAAATTTACAAAAGATAACATTTAACAAATTAGTGTGTTTAAATACTAAATGGATCCTTTGCGCAAAAATAAAAATTCTGTCGTCTTTTACTCGCCCATCAATGTCATTCCAAACCTGTGTGACTTACTTTCTTCTGTGGAACATAAAAGAAAACACTTTGAAGATTTTTTATTATATTTTTAACTAAAGTCAAAAACAATGCTGGACCCTACTTACTTTTATTGCATGAAAAAAACTAACTTCAAACCATCAGCCTTGTGTTCCACAGAAGAAGCAAAGCCATACAGGTTTGGAGTAACATCAGGGTGAGAAAATTATGACAGAATTAAAAATTTATATTTATAAAAAAAGTATATTTTAACTTTAACTGTATCTGTTAATTTTAAGGTTAATCTAAATGTAAAAATGACAAAAAAAATACAAAAAAGAAAAGAAAAAGCATTGCATGCACAATTAAATAATGAATTGCAGGATGTCTAATGCTACCAATTTATTATGCATCCCTTATAAAACCCTAATTTTATATGGCACTAAAGCAATGATATGCAGAATCTGGTGTAAAATAAAGCACCATAGCCTATGTACATATACAGTAAAAAGTATTTAGGTGAAAGAACAATGCTTGCTAATCCTTTATTATTGGGGTTTTAGGTTGACGTTCCCCTCTTAGCGAGGGATATTCTCTAAGGACTGATTTTACAGATCACTGGGTAATAAACTCAATGATACTCCATTATCAGCTATATCTGCTGATATATCTAGTAATGATAATGAAAACTGCACAAGCATCTCCCCTCACCTCCAGCTGTTCCTCTTTCCCTCTTTTACTGGGAAGAGGATCAGATGAGCTGATAGTGGGGGTTGAATTACTCTTAATCTCTGCAGGTTTGGAGTAATTAGCTGTGGTTAATCAGCATTCCCCTCCTCAGGTTATGAATGTCTAATCTCTCAGGATATAGAGTATGATGCAATTTCCACTGAGGCTTGTTCGCTTTGTCTCTTTCCAGTTCCCACACAAGAGGAAATGTCCAGCCTAACACCAGAGTCTTCCCCCGAGTAAGTATTAGCAATTTTCAAAGACAATCAAGTAAAATACAGTTTTATTACATCCCAGAGTGTGAAAGAAACATTAAAATAATACTCAATTATAATTTAATTAAAATAAATGTTAGTTTAATACTCATTGTTCTACTAGGTGTGGGGCTAAATGTATCACCTTTTGTATTAACCTGAGCTGTTGAGAGTTAAATCACCAACACTCAATTAAAGCTTGCTTAATTAAGACACTTAACTTTTGCTCTTTGTACTTACTTTTTCTCCAAATTTTATTATAATTTGAAAGGAGCTCTGAAAACTCTGCAGCTAAAGTTAATGTGGTGGTCCAAACACTATTCCTGGCCCCATTAGCCTAGTTTGTTGCGGAAGACATTATCAGGGAATAGTTCGTCATGAATAATTCAGTGTTTTAGTTCCACTTAGCTTCACAGGCACGCAAAGCAGCACCACGGTGGAAACTTTCTTCTGGAGTGTTTTCCTCTTATTTTGCTGTTGTTTTGTAAAGTTCTTGGTGAGAGAGTGTCACAATATGTTGGGCTGGCTCAAAGATGGCCTTGATAGTCACTGACTGTGGTAAAATCTCTGCGATTTCAAGCAGGGTTGAGAAATGAGCCATATCTGAGGCATTCAAACCTACACACAGGCTTTTGACATGAAATATTTTAGAAACTTTCCAGTACTTTTCAGTTGTCAGCAAATTGTGTGTCATGACAAATGTTAGCAGATTTTTGTGGTGATTCGGGACAAGCCTCTGAGCTCCATCAAAGCAGATATTGTACACGCCTTTCTCTCTGTAAGTCTCCAATGAGTATGTGAATTCTGTGTTAATTTACTCACCCTTATCTCGTTCCAAACCTGTTTAACTTTTCTTACTATCGTGGGTGGGGCTTTTAAGTTTCAAAAATGATGCAAAAACACAATACAAATATCAGAAGTGTCAGGCTTGTGTGCTATATTCCAAATCTTCTGTGTGACAACAACAGACCAGTATTGAAATTATTCACTGATAATCTTCTGCTCTAGTGGGCTGTTACGCTCTGCGACCGAATCATTGAGCTGAATTGAACAAATCATTCAGACCAGTTTTGTGAACTGTATCAACTGATTGATTGAAAAGATCTGACTCAGAATAAAGAATCATTGGCAAATCTTCTATCACTTAACTCATGAATGCATGAAAGAGAGCTAGGATGGATGTCAAGATTTTCAGTGGATAACAAGTTTCTGTCCCTCGCACAAATCATATGACTTCAGAAAACCTAAAAATGGACCACTTTCACAAAGTTTTATGGACCACTTTTAAAGACCTTTTTTTCTGTCATTTTGGAACTTGACTGCCCCAGTTCTCCTATATTGTCATTATATCGAAAGGAATGTCCAGGATATTCTTAGAAATGTACCTTTTGAAGAAAGATACAAGTAATACCCCTCTGGTGCTCTTTGGACATTTTTTTTATTGAATTGTTTTTATTATTTTTATTTAATTTGAAAGAATTTTAACTTCATCAGAATGGTATAAAACTTACTATAAAACTGTGTGAAAATGGGCATGATTCAGAAAGGTTAAATGGTCCTGAAGTAATATGCACACTTGTACTCCTCGCGGAGTACAATCTTACTGATATCAATCTCAAATTTGCAACACTTGTTTAGAATTATGGCTCTGATTTTGGAAAAGTTTTGGAAATTTGGAAACAGAAATTCAGCTCTATGCTCATAAAATATTATTTAGTACCATAAAATCCTTTAAAAATACAAACTATTAAAGAAAACCATTATTGAACTAAAATATAGTACATTCATTACATTGAGAAAAAAAAGACACACCAAAGGGCTAAATAATTGCACAATGTTCATTTTGGGGTGAATTTTTCTCTCAGATTCCCAGCCTCAGCCACAGTGTGGTGTCTCAGACGAGTTTCCGGGCAGAATACAAATCCACGGCCGGCCCCACCGTGTTCCAAAAACCAGTGAAGTTCCAGGTGGACATCACCTACACCGAAAGCACGGCTGCCACCAAGGAGAACGGCATCTACTCTGTCACTTTCACACTGCTCTCAGGTAACCATGCCTACAGTGAGAAGCCCATTTTGATGTCATAAACTCGCTGGCAGCCAATAGAAACGCAAAGGGATGTGTGTGTGGGTGATGGAGAGGCTGGTTGATGATGTTGAACTTTGTCTTTCGCAGTGGTGAGAGAATTTTTTTCTCTCCCTCTCTCTCATTCCGCAAGCGATCCCCTCCTCCATTACACTCCCCCTCTCTTACTAAGACTCTGAAAATAGACAGACTGCTCGAGGGGGTAATGGAAAAAATTAAACTAAAAGAGGCCTTTTTGCCTCCTGGTAATCACTATGCATTTTCAACCTGCTGTGTTTCAAAGGACAATCCAAAAAGATCCCGCATTGCTGGTGCCATTACTGCAAACCCCGTCCCTCGCTTTTCATTCTCCCCCTCGCTCTTTTTTGCTCTCTCGGCTACACAGAGGGGATTGAATCTTGTTCTTAAAGTCACACATTTTAAAGTGCGTGTGTGTGCACGTGTCATAAACTCAGCCGTGGGCCGAAAGCACCATATAAAATCTGCCTCATCCCATTAGACTTTATGAGGCAGCCGCTATGGGGAATAAACCCAGGATGTGTCAGCATAAATGTACATTCATTTCAAAAGACATGCCTGTACCAGTTTGTACAGGATCATTGTGAAACATTTAAATAGTTCCTGCGTGTGTGTCCCTGGCAGGTCCCAGCCGACGCTTCAAACGGGTGGTGGAGACGATTCAGGCTCAGTTGTTAAGTACACATGACCAGCCTGGTGTCCAGCAGCTGTCTGGTGAGTGGCCAATCACTCCACTGAACACACCTCTTTCTCTGGCTCTTTCTCTCTCTCTCTGTTTCTGCTCTCTTACACAGCATCCTGAACATGCATGGCGCCTAGCCCACCCTTGCAGAGCACTGAACGCTGCACACACCCCTCAAGGTCAAATGAGTCTTTCCAGTGTTTCAAATGGTTGTTAGAGGTGGTTTCAAAGACATTTTTAGTCCATCAGATTGTTAATATGAAAATTAACTTCTCTAGATGCAATGTATCCACTGTTCCATTAATGTCGGATGTGATGTCTTATCTAAAGGTGCTGGAAATACACGTTTGACCTTATCAGAGCACATTGCACAGAATTGCATTGCAAGGCACTTGCACACATACACACACTCTTCTTAGCGGTCTCACACACTCACAGAGAGAGCATGCTAGAGCACACTCGCGTGTATTAACAAGGGTTTATATACAGTACATATCCAGGAAATTTCTTGCTGATATCTAAATCAAACCTGTGTCCCAAGTAAATCAATGTGGCTTTAAGTTGTTCGTTCTACGAGTAGAAATGTGATGGGCTAGACTGTGGTTCCTGCTGGAGATGATAAAATGAAAGAACAGAGAAATCCTCTGCCTGTCTTCTCACATGGCTGTTTGTGCACTTGGTGAAGAGCCTGTTACAGCTCCCTCTGCTGGACAGCCCCAAACCTTACTGTCCAAAAGCAATATCACTGTGTAATACAGAAAAGGGAGTTTGGCATTTCATAATATCATTCTGCATTCTGTATACTGTGCACAATAAGCACATTTTCCATGTGCACAAAGTACCTGGATGACTTCCAAATCCAGTGTATTGGAATACACAAAGGGAATATATATATATATATATATATATATATATATATATATATATATACATACAGTTTACTTAGTTTAGAAATGCAAAATAACAAAATAATCACTGCCTGTAATGTTTAGAGCTGCATAACGACTGGAATACACTACACAACCTTTAATACCTTATCAGAACTAAAGTGAATACTTCACTTGTCGGCTTTGTAAATGGTTAAAGATAAACTCTAGCCATCATACACAGGACTGCCAGACTTTTGAGTAGTTCGGAACACTACAAACTCGTGCGGAGACATGCACCTTGTTGCATGCATTTTAAAACTGACTCAAAATATAAATGCCTGTTGTCATTTGACTGAATCATTGTCAGAAGCTAAAACGTCAAGAGTCTGTGCCCCATAATACGCTATTTTCTGATTTTCTGTGAAATCTGTCAGCTCAAATCTGCAGACTAGCTCTGACTTTGAAAAACTAGCGTTGACTTGTCCAAACTGAAAATCAGGGTAAAAATATAGGCAAGTCATGTACTGTATTCCAGCTTTAATGCTTTGTTTCACATATGTCTTTTGAAAATAGTAGGCAGTATACAGTGTACTGGTAATGTGCTAATATTGTACTGCAAATGTATAATTTGGAAAAAAGGTCATCCATGTATTTCATACAGAATATTATTGTGCACAGTATAACCTACATTCGGCATACTTTAAAAACAGTAGCCTGTTAGTATGATAGTATGACATTTCAAACAAAACCCCCTTTCTCAGTGCCTTATACCAAAACATGGTATGTAATTATATTCATATTGTGCATTTGGACTGTCTTAAAGAAAAGAGCTGTTATCAGGATCGTGTAGCTTTAAAGATGTGCCATCCTCTCACCCTGTCAATCACGCCCTTCCCTTCCCCTGGCTTTGCCCTTCACCCCCTGCTCTCCCACTGCTGTTGAGTGAATGGGCATGAGAGCTTGAGTGTCCTCACTGACCGTGAGCAGACCTGCACAGCACTGAGCACCAGCATGCTTCACTCTCAACAGATGTGGCCACGTAATAAACATCTGTGCAAGGAGGTTGAATCACTGAGTTCATGTCATTACTGTAAAGTCAATGGGGTGCATTGAGAATGTCAGTTTAGGCTAATTATTTGATTTGATTGGACATGTTACAGTAATATGTCATGTTCCTTTGACAGGAAAGCGTTCAAAGGGTGGTAAGAGGTCTATTTTAACTCTTTTGCCACAGTGTACGTCACTTTATCATACATTCTGTCCAATGTGTGGCACTTAAACACAGAGACCCTTTAAAGGGATTGTACACCCAAAAATGACATTTACCCTCACCCTCATGTCATTCTAATCCTATAATACTTTTGTTGATCTTTGAAACACAAATCAGTATATTTTAATAAAACCCTTTCCTTTTGGTCCATGCAACCAAAGCTACTATAAAAAAATAAGATGAGACAGATTCACACAGACAAGTACAGATTTGATTTAGGCTTTTGTGCCTCTTCAGAAGAGTTTTAATAAACTGCTTGATTGATATGAATTACCTCGACAATCCCTTTTTGTACGTTTGATGCATTAGAGTTTTGTTTGCACAGGTTTTCATAAACATATCTTCATTTGTATTTTGAAGATGAATGAAAAGTCTTATGGATTTGAAACGACACGAGGGTGAGTAATTAATGACAGAAATTAAATTTTTGGATGAACTATCCCTTTAAATTTGAAATATGCAGAGATGTGTGTGTGTGGGAGTGTATGTGCATGAACTCACTTGCTAGGACAATCCATGAAAGTTTAAATTCTCTAGAGTGAAAACACTTCATACATTCTTCATGTTGTTTTTCTCTCCTTATCCAATTCTTGCATCATTTTACTTTGTTTTTGTGGGCCAATTGTTGCATCTGAATCACTTTGGTGAAAGGCCTTGTTAATTTAAACATTTAATCAGCAGTGCTTATGAATCTGTTAAACCAGGTTTTTTATTTGAAGATGATGTCTGAGCTTTTATGTTAGCATGTTTCTCAGCACCTCTTTTCTCTAAACATTTCTTTCATGTTGATCATTTGGGACTTTTACAGTAGAAGTAATCATCTGTAGAATCGCTGTATAATGAGGGGCAGAATCCTAACGGGACTAGTTTTCTCAGCATGACCTACTTATGTAGAGCCCTATAAATACAATGTGAGTATTAAAACAGGCAACAGTGAAGTCTGGTATGTGTTTGCTATTGGATTAATAGTCATTTTAAAGGAATACAGTAATTATTAGCCATTATTTGGCATGTAATCTCACTAACATACACACGATCTTAGCAAAAATACAATAAAGCCTTAAAAGGATTTGCCATTTCAGCTGCTTTCTTACTTTATCAGGGTTATTCGATTCCATAGCTGTGGATCTTAATAGTATGTCATTTCAGATTGACTTAACCTAGTGGGGTTAAATTCAGAAATATTGTAGCTACACATTCAATCATGCGGGTGAGACTTAAATCCATTGTATTTAGCCCAAAGCTATTTGACTGGAGCTCAGCACATGCCCCGTAAGAGAAAAATAGCCATGCTGTACTGGACGTTTTCTGTGTCTGCAATAGTTTACCCAGCATAAATCTAAACGGAGATGAACATTTGTAATGGCTCACAGCAGAAATGCTGAAGCAGTGTCCTGTGTGTCTCAAAGCTGCCACAGCTGTCATGTCTCTTTGAGAGTCTCTTTGGCTGTGGCAAAGCAGCCTGTTTTCTAGGGAAGCGGCAGTTTCGAGCTTTCTGTCATGATGTTGAGAGGAGTCCAGATTGTATTGAGAGACTCAGAGACGAGCTCTGGAACTAAAGCAATCTACTCTAGTGTTCACATAGGCCACGGTCTGCCATGTTACAGCTTGTGCTATCGGGCCGCTGCTGCTCAGTCACTTATGAAATTGGAAAAAGAGGTGTTGGTTTGCAAGCCTGTGTTGGTGTCAAATAGGGTGTGTAGTTAATCCTTCTGGGCCGACTGTCAGGTGTATTCAGAATCTGCAACAATTTGTACCACTATACATTTCAATCCATTTTATGAGATGATGATATCAGAAATGATGAATTTAGCATAAATATGTTTAGCTGTATATGTACCAGGGTGTAAACAAATGCCCTGACAATGATTTTATATAATTATGATTCTTTACTAGATGAAATTTGAAATTTGTTCATGACTGCACTCATTTAAAAAATGTAGCAACCTTTATATGGTCACTAACATATGCCACAAAGTGTTGTCCAATTTCTGAACAAATGGCCATTATAAACCAGTTCATTCAAGTGGCTCAAAAACATGGGTAACACTTTATAATAACGTTCAGTTGTAAGTCATTTATAAGGGACTAGTTAATGATGAACTAATCATTTACAAAACATTCATAAGCAATTAATAAGCGATATGCTAACAATTTGTGTATGTTTTGTTAATTCATTTACAAGTAATTTACAAGTAATTAGTTAATGATGAACTAATAATTTACAAAACATGACTATACGTTCACAAATGATTATTAAGTAATATGCTAACGATTTACACATCTGTCGTAAGTTAAAAAATAGCATCATGAAATAATCAAACAGATACTTAGTAAATGGTTAATAGTTACTAGTTAATATATTATTAATCACTTGTAAATAATTGAAATGTCAACATTGTACTAGTATCTCAATAAACGTGTTAATCATGAACAAATGATGATTAAAGGGGTCATATGATGCTTTTTTAAAGATCATTATTTTGTGTATTTGGTGTAACAGAATATGTTGACATGCTTTAATGTTCAAAAAACACATTATTTTTCAAATACTGTACATTATTGTAGGTCCTCTATGCCCCGCCTCTCTCAAACGCTTCGTTTTCTACAAAGTCCCTCCTTCCGACAAGCGCAGCCTGCTCTGATTGGCCAGCTGACCCAGTGCATTGTGATTGGCCGAACACCGCAAGCACTCGTCGGAAATGTAACGCCCCTTACCATAATCGCGAGCTTCATCTTTCAAATTAATGTAAAGATAGAACCAGAAAGGGGAACAGAGTAGTGGTGGAAATTTTGATTCTTTCAAGAGATTCGTTGATTTTTAGTTCGTTCACCAAAATGATTCGTTCAGATTCGTTCACTGATTCGTTCAGTGACCATTTCTTCATATTACATAAATACGCCAGCAGCTGGCAAACAATAGTGTCTTATCTGTTATGTCTTAAGTCAACGAACGTATTCACTTATTACAAAAAACTGATTTGGCTTTATTAAAATGTGTGCATAATCTCCTCATTAAATAAATAAAGTCTAAATAAGTTGTTCAGATGACCAAAGCACAAGGTTTTCTTGCATATTTAACATTTTAAGTGTTTGGTCAGACATTTAAACATTCATAAATCAGGGATTAAACGAACATAAAGTTATGTTCTGTATGCTAAATATGAATATATAAACAAGTTTATTTGCACAGTACCTATAACTGCGCTTTGCATCTGATTCCTGCTGATTGCTGATCGAGATTGACATGCTTAATGGCCGACATACACTCTCATTTCGTTCACGAACAAGACATGTACCAGTTCATTCAACTCACGAACGACATGTACTAGTTCATTCAACTCGTTCACGAATGAGAAGATCTCTCTCGTTCAGACTCAAAAGAAACTCGTTTAGTGAAGGGCGTATTCGTTCACTACTAGGGATGGGCGTATCGATCCTAAGTATCGATATATCGATACTGACGCGAGTATCGAAAGTATCGATAATCAAACTAAAAATATCGATACTAAGGTGTGTTTTATTTACCAGTGATTTTGTTTATTTAAAATAATAATAATAATGTGTTCAAATGCATTGAATTGGACGAATAACCTTTGTTAGCGAGTACTCTTAGTAATTTAATAATTTAATACATTTCATAATTTAAAAGTTTAGTGCAGAAGTATCGAATCGGTATCGATATCGACGATACTGCCTTGAAAAATATCGGTATCGTATCGAAAACAAAATAAGGGGTGTCGCCCATCCCTATTCACTACATTCAACAAATCACATGGTCCGTCGCATCTCATACTCGAAGGCTATTGGCTCGAGGTTTAGTCATTCTTTGACAGGATGAAACAGTCCACAGAGCTACCCGGTTCACTGATCTGCGCATGCGCTGTCAATAGTGCCGTGCTGCTCTGGAGGGAGGAATTTCAGTGAACAAGAAATATGAGTCAATGGATTACGTGAACGAGAATGATTCGTTCACCAAAAAGATTCGTTCAAAAAGAACGATTCGTTCAGGAACGTAACAACACTAGAACAGAGTCGCGTGACAGACACAGTGATGAAGCTGGTATGTGTTTGCAGTACACAAGCCACGGTTAAGACAGCTGACTCCACTGTGATGTGACCCTGTCTCTCTCTCTCTCTCTCTCTCTCTCTC